GAGGGAGGGGGGGGCTAGGGGGGAGAGGGAGGGGGGGGGTTTGGGGGGGGGAGGGTGTGGGGGGTAGGGGGGGGGAGGAAGGGAGGGGACGAAGGAACGGGAACAAAGTAAAAGAAAAGGGAAAAGCAAAAGCAAAGAAAAAAGCCGCGGCAGCGAGAGGCTCCCGCGGCGCTGCTGCCTCCCCGCGCACTGCCCGAGCAAATGGCTGTGGGGGCGAGTTCCGGCGCTTAAATACCCCCGCCCCGACCCGCCCCCTGCCCGTCCCCGCCCCGCGCACCTGGACGGGCCCCGCCTCGCACACCTGTGCGGGCCCCGCTCCGCCCCGGACCCGCCCCGCCCGCGGGGTTTAAAGCCGGCAGAGCCGGGGTCGCCCCGCGTTTGTGGAAGAAGCTCGTACCGGGATGCTGCGGGAGCGATCGGCGCTCGGGGCCGGAGTCCCGGCCCGGCGGCTGCTCCCGGCGCTGCGCCGAGCTCGGGGCGCTGAGCGGGGACGGCACCGGCACCGGGGGACCGAGGCTGGCTTGGAGCTGCGATGGGGTTCGGCAGCGGTACGGGGATCGGCATCGCCGGAGTCGCTGCGGGGTGGGCGCTGGGGCCGAGCTCGGCAGGGCCGCTCGGGCCGGGGCTCTGCCGGGGCCCGGTTGGGGGAGAACGGCGGCGCTTTCCTCGTACAGACGCGGAACCCGGGCCGGGACCGGCCGGGGCGCGGGGACACGCCGGGCCGGCCCCGGGACCCCCCGATCCCGCCGGGCCCGCAGCGCCGCCCGCACCCCCCGCGGGATCGGAGCTCCTCCCTCTCGGGCACCCCCGAGGCCATCGCACCCCCTCCCGAAGAACATCGCCCGCCTCCCTCTTCCCCGCGGCCCCAGGAGGTTCCCGCTCGCAGGGCCCCCCGGGAACGAGGGCTCTGGGGCCCGCCGGGGCTCCGGCCACGGACCCGCTCCGGCCGCGGGGAGCCGGGGCCCTGCCGGGGCAGGGAAGAACGGGGGCGGCCGCTCCCTCGTTCCTCCCGTGCTCCGGGACCCCGAGCAGAGCTGCCCGTCTGTCCCCGCGTCCCTTTGTCTGTCCTCAGGCGGCCCCAGGAGCCGGCGCTGACCGTGCCGCGGCTCGGGCACAGGCTGCTCCCAGCTCTGCCTGCGGAACTTCGGCAATTGCCCCCAGCAGTTCTTTGCCCTGCCATCCAGAAGGTGCGGCTCCTCTGACACCTGCCAGGTGAGACCTGAGGCTCTCCTTCCTCTCCCCCGCTTCCTCGGCAACTCGCACCCTCCCGGGGCGAACCCTCTGCTTTTGAAAAATCCCCCATCTTTATTTGCAGACGGGGAAGGTCCTGCCTGGGAGGGAAACGGCTACAGCAGAGGAAACCAAGAAACGCTCCAACCGGACGCTGCCGCGCGAGGCAAAGGAGGGAAGGACCGCAGGCAAGTACAGTCAGGAAATCCGCTTTTATTAAATCTCTGCAGCATTAAATCCCCCCTTCCCAGCCACGGGCCGGAGGGAGCGCGGCCGGCTGGGCTGTGCCCGGCTGGGGACGGGCACCAATTCATCACTGCCCTGCTCAGGGAGGTTTGCCGGCCGTGTCCGGGATTCACCCAACGGCTGCAAAGGTGCTCGTGTGACTTCCGAGCTCATTTCCAGAGATAAAGGAGCCAAACGAGTCCGGAGGGATCCCTCGCTCCGAAGCAAAGGCGTCGGTCGAGTGTCGCCGCCTGGTCCCGCCTGCGGGGGGGCGTCTCCTCCAGGTGAGCCTTCGGAACCCAAAATGCCGGGGGGAGGGGCTCAGGTCGGGGCCGCTTTTCGGGCCCGGAGTTGGACGGAGCCCTCGGCGGCTCCTGATTTCCGCCAGGAACGTTCTCGGGGCTCCCTGGGCAGTCCCAGCTGGGCAGGGAACGCGGGCCGGGAGGAGGCCGGAGCGACAGAGAGTGACCCAGCCCTGCTTGGGCTTCCTATTGCCGGGGGATGGAGGAGCTGTGCCCTGCACTGCCCTGCCGGGGCTCCCAGCACAGCTCCTGGCAGCAGGGATGGAGCAGCCTCCATCGGGCACAAGACGGATTTGTCTCCCGAGCAGGGCTCCTCCGCCAAACGCACATCCCAGGGGGGGGGAACCAGCCACGGGCACCGGGGTGGGCACGGGGAAAGGGCTGCCCGCGGCTCCTCAGCCGGGCGCTGCTCTGAACGGGCACCCTGAGATGCCTCATCCTGGACACGCCCCAGCGACAGCCCCAAAGGACCCAAAGAATCCAGCCGGCACTCGGCAGTGTCGGCACGGCGGGGCTGCAGAGCAGCGCGGGCACCCATTCCCAGGGCCCACCTCCCAGAGCTGTCCCGCGCCCCCCACGGGTGTCTCGCCCACCCCAAATCCCTGCCCTTCGAGCCGGAGGTGCTCTGAAGGCAGGGCTGTGCATCCCTTTGCTCGGGGAAAAGAACTGCCCGGGGCCGCTCCCGAGGCTCCGAAGGGACAGCGGCTTCCCGGCCGGAGAGACGTCCTCGCCCGTGCTCAGGGGCTGCCTCGCCCCGGGCCGGGAGCGCGTCCGGCCCCCGCCTTCTCCTGGGCCAACACATCCCCTGGAGCCCGGCCCGGGGTGGAAAACCGGCCGAATTCCAGGGAACTCGCTCAAGTTCCCCCAGGGACACCGGCGGGGTTGGGGGAGGAGGGTTATAAACAGCAAAGTCTGTGGAATATCAACCTGTCCTTGTCCCGATCCCGCTGAGTAAACCTGGAACCGTGGCTGCTTCCTGGCAAACGTGGCGTTAAAGCAGCAGCTCTGCGGGGGAAGATCCGGGCTCCAGGAGGCACTGGGAGGCTTTTCCAGCAGGAATTCGGCATGGAATTGCGGGCTGTAGGTAGAATTCATCCAAACCTGCAAAGCTGAGACCGGAACCCAAACCTGGGCCCCACGCAGAGAACAATCTTTGTGCTGCTGTGTCGGCCAAAGCCGCTGCACTGAGAGATCTTGGCAGCCTAAAGGAGGGTAAACCAGCATCTCCCAAGGGGACAATCCAAGTCCCAACTAAATCCTTTTGCCTTTCCACAGGGACACTGACCCTTATTTGGTCCTGCTCTCCCACGGTTCATTTTGGGGGATTGGTTTGTGCTGGTTTACATTCCACGACTCCACCCACAGCTGGAGGTTTGAGGCTGTGCTTCTCTACTCCCAGCAGGTTCCCTAAGGAGCCAGTTACTCCAACAATCCTCTCGTTTGACTTTCTAGGCGAATTGTGCACAAGCCAGTCCCCCATTCCCTATCCAGGCTGGGAGTGCTCGTGCCCTTGGCACAGTTGGCTCTGGCTGGGCAGGAACTGAGAGCAGGACACGGGATAGAGCGGATCAGCTGCCCAGGGAACCTCCAGGAGATGAAGCTACGGGATCCTCATTCCAATCAAGGGAACACGTTCTGACTCTGGCAGAAGCCGGGAGCCAAAGCAGATCCCGCCTGGCCAGGCTGGGGGGCAGCAGTTGGATCCACTCTGGGGGAAAGCCCCTGTGCCTGCCAGGAGCTCTGACTCTGTTTGTCCTGCCAGCTCCTGACCAGTGTCAGGGCCCCTGGGAGGCATTCAGAATCCAAAGAAACCCCAAATCCTACTGAGGGACTCAATCAAAGGAAGAAAGCCATTCTTGTCATAAAAAGCTTAAAAAGCTGTTAAAAGTTCTAGGACAGCAATACTGGGATTCCCAGGAAACTTAGTAGTGCTCTTGGTTCCATTTCAATGTATCTTTAGTCCCTCAATGAGCAGCTTGGAGAACTTCCCCTGGGATTTGGAGGCTGAGCAGGGTTTGCTTTGGATTGCCTGGCACCTCTGGCCCCAGCTGGTGCAAACACAACTTGGGCCAATGGTCTGTGCCCAGTGTGTCCCTGTGGGCAGTGCCAGGCTGGGGACAGGCACACGCAGCTGGCAGCACTCTCTGCCCCAAACAGCCTTGGGGGGCAGCGCAGCCCCCCCAAGGGGGGGGATCGAGGGGGGCTGGAGGCGGCCCAGGAAAGGACCCCCCGCTCCCCCCGGGGCAGCTCCACAGCCCCCCTGCCCTCTCTGCCACGGGGGCCCCGCTGCTCCCCCGGCTGGCACAGAGCCCCCTGCCCATGGCTGGCAAATCAGGGCCAGGGCTCGGCCTCGCTGCAGCCGCCCCACACGGGAGCAACTCAGGGCTCAGCCCAACATTTCCCTGCTTGGCCACTGCAGAGACCCTCAGGTCACCTCAACACCTTCCTTCTCTTCCCAGCAGGTTACCTGAACTTTAACACCCACAACTGTCTGTGTCTCTCACCACTCATCACCTCAGCTTACCTCAATGTGTTCATTCCCTGCCCTGCAGAGAATGAACCTCCTTTTTAACCCCCAAACTTTCCCCTTCCAGCCCACTCCTGATTACCTTTTCTTGAACACAAAAGAGTCATTCCCTCCCCCAGAGATTACCTCCTTTTTAACCCCCAGAGTCTTCCCTACCTGCACACTCCTGATTACCTCTTTTGGACCTCCAAATATTCATTCTCTGCCCTGCAGATTTGCTCAAGTTTCACCCTCAGAAATTCCTCTGCCTCTCCCCTCCTGACTGCCTCACTTTCTTCCAAAATGTTCCTTCTCTGCTGCACATTGCCACAGATTTGACCCCCACAATTTTCCCTACAAGTCCACCACTGAGTACCTCATGTTCATCTCTCAATATTCATCCTCTACCATGCAGATTACCTCAGATATTTCCCCCCCAATTTTCCCTATGAGTCCACAACTGATTACCTCAGGATGTACATTCTCTGCTCCACGTGACCTCAAATTTGACAAACACGAATTTTCCCTACCTGCCCAACACTGACTGCCTCACTTTACCCCGAGGTATTCATTCTCTCTGCTACAGATTGCCCAGATTTTACTCCCAAAATTCTCCTTACCTACCCACATGTAATCAGCTCCTCTGTACAAACACATGTTCATTCTCTACCCTGTGGGCTACCCCAAGTTTACCCTAAAACACTCCCCAACTGTCCACCACTGAGTACCTCATTTATCCTTCAAAATATTCATTCTCTGCCCAGGACATTCCCTCAAGTTTTACCCCCAGAGGTTTCCCCTCCTGCCCACTGTTGACTGCCTCAGTGTCCAGCAGGAGGTACATCCTCTCTGCTACAGGTGACCTGAAATTTTACACACACAAATTTTCCCTACCTGCCCACCACTCACTGCCTCACTTTATCTCTAAATGGTCATTCTGTCCTCTACAGATGACATCAACTCTTACCCCCAACATTTCCCTTCCTCTACATCACCCATTTTCTCTTCCTGACGCCCCAAATTTCCCTTCCATCCCTACACATTCCCTGAGTGTTTCCCTCCCAAGCATCCTTCCCTTCTTCCCTGTTTAAGAACTCACACTCCAGCCCCAGGCTCTCCACTCCCCCTCAGTGGGACCCCTCCAAAATGCCACCTCCCTCCCCTCTGCAGCACCTCACCTTTTCCTACACAAACAGTTGCTGGGGCCCCTCGAAATTACCCCAAGTTGGCAGCTACAAATGTCACCTCTGTCCCTGCCATGTTCTCCCAGGTTTCCCCAGCTGGGAGCTGCAAGGAATTCAGGCCAGGGAATGGACAGCAGGGAACAGCTGTACATGCAAAGGCAGAAAGAGAAGATCTGTCAGCAAAAGGCACAAAGAAGGGGACAGGCTTCAGAAAACATTTCTGCAATCTAATGAAGAACTCTTTCCAGTTTCCCAGGGAGAAGAACAGGAACTCACAGCCACCAAGGCCTGACAGTCCCCTGCAGCCAGAGCTCAGCACACAGCCAGTCAGGCAATTCCAGCATCTAAAAGGAAAAAAAAAGAACAAAAAAAGTGATTTATTTTGGTTTAAAGTTACTTTAAGTTGTTCCAAGCAAAGCAAGCCTTGCTCTGGTTTCAGTTGGGTGAACAGGGAGCGCTGGGCACAGGGCACGTCATTAATGCCCAGGGGATGGGGCTTTGTGGGGGAGGGAAGAGCAGCTGATGGAGTTGCCCAGTCCAATTCCTGCCCAAGGCCTGATGGCCCAGGACAAACCCTCTGGCAGGCAGTGGGTTTGTTCCCTCTCATGGTCAGTGCCCAGTGTGTCCCTGTGGGCAGTGCCAGGCTGGGGACAGGCACACGCAGCTGGCAGCACTCTCTGCTCCAAAGACACTTCTGGCCTCCTTGGCAAACTGCCTCTGACACTTGGTTTTCTCCAGCAGAAATTAAGGAATTGCTCATGGCAGTTTGGAGATGAAGTTATCCCAAAGGGAAGGAAAGAACAAATATTCCTGTCAGAGCCCTTGGGATCTGCTGGGCTGAATTGGGAAGGGCCCCTTATCTGCAGAGCAAATACAGGACAACCTCAAACACAAAGCCCAGCCTGTCCAGTGGGGTGTGAAAGCACCACTGGGACAAACCTCCACTCTCCTGATTCTTTCCAGGGGCTGCTCCGACCCAGCTCTGAAGCTGCCAAGCCCAAACTGTCCCCGGCGCTCTGGAACAACAGGATCTTCCCAGGGATGATGCACTGGAAGCACAGCCCTCATTCTCACCCTCCACACGCTCCCAGGCTCACCCCAAATTCAGGACAAGGGGCCAAAGGCCACTCGGGCCGGGGCTCTCTCTGTCTCTGCGGGCTCAGGGACTGCAGCCACCAGGGCCCTCCAGCACGGACAGCCTGGACCCAGAGCAGATCCCTGGGCATTGGCAGTGTCCTGGGCACACCTGGAGACAGAAACCATCAGCCTCTGGGGACAGCACTTCATTGCCAGCACACACAGCCTGCCACATTTAGGGGGGCAGCTCTCGGAGCACAAAGCCCAGTCTGACCCAGTTCTCCTGGGCACCAACACGGACTCCACAGACCCACAGGAATGAGAATGTTCTGCTGCTTTGACAAACTTCAGCCCAGCTTTGCAAACCTCAGTCCCTGCAGCTCCTGCTCTCCAGAGCCCCGTTCAGGGCTGGCTCCAGTTCCCTGGAGAACCTGCCCCAGCCCCACTCTGGGCCAGCCTGAGCAGAAGCCACTGGGCTGCACAAGGAAGAACCCTCCCCTGGCTGCTGCAGCTGGAGGGAGATCCAGCTCCCAATGGAACCCTGGCAACAGCCTCCCAGAGGGTCTCTCCCCAGCCCTTGGCAGTGGCTCAGGATGGCAGCAGCTCCAGTGCCAGCTGGGTCCCTGCACGAGTCCTTGTCCCAGCCCTGCCCCACGGACACACACGGGAGACACCCACGGGCACACAGGCCTTGCTTGCACAATTCCTCACCCACAGCTGAGGGAAAGCCACACAATAGTAAGAAATAACCTGGGCTGAGAGCACTCATCACTCCAGTCCATCAGGACTTGGAGGCAGTTGGGTAGGCAACAGACCCAAATTCTAATCCTACCTCTACATTTCTAACAGGTTCTCTTAGAAAGATCCTGGACAGGAACTCAGACAACAGAACCCAAACACTGCACAAGCAATAACAGAAGGTTTGCCAGGAAGAACAGGAGTTCCTTGTTTTCCTTAACACTCTGGGACTGGAGGACCCAATCTTTGCAACCAAGGGACACCAGAGATGTGATTAATACTTAAACCTCTCCCCCATGGTTCTGTCTCAGAGAACTGGGCCAGCCCTGAGCTACTCCCAGGTGCCTGCAGTGCTTTGGGGAGGGGCAGGACAATGTCCCACTTCTGCTTGGAAACATTCCAGATGAGGAAAAGCCACTTCCCTTCTCTCTCTCTGACCCAGAACCAGAACGGTCCTGTAGGACAACACGGACTATGCACGGAAGGCCCGAGTCAGTGGGGGGAAAAGCCTAAACAAACCAAACCACCCCAAATTTCAAGATAAAAACAGGCTGCTTCCTTAACAGGAGCACACCAAACTCATTGAAGCCAGAGAGGAAATTACAAACAAACAAACAAACAAACAAAAGACCCCAAAAGATGCTTTGCAGTGATACATTCCCTGGTTGATCATTCCAAAGGAAATTCTCCACAGATCAGAAGCAAGTACCAATACTTTGTCCTCTATTGAAAATTAATGACTTGAGGGGCTGGACATGTCCAGTGAGGGTTCAGGGGTCTGGTGGGTCCTTTATGGCTGATCCTGACCGGCCCAGGCCAAACCCAACCACCCCCATGGCTGCTCCATCCCAGACCTGGGGGCAACATTCAGACAGTTTGGAAACACTCCCCTTCCCTGCTACTCCCTCCTTCCTTACACATCCAGTGCCCAGGGAGCAAATGCCAACAGCAGGAGGAGAGAAAGGTGTCCCTCTGACTTACCCCCCCCCACGGGCAGCACCAGGAGCCCCCAGCCCGGCCGGCGGGGCTGCAGCCTCTTGCCTTTGGCTGCTCCCAGCCCAGGGCACTTGGCAGAGCTGGGCTGGATCAGGGCTTTGGCCTGGCCTGGAAGAGAGGAGAACAAGGCAATTAAGGGCACTGGGCAAGTCAAAGGCTCCTGCCCTTCACCCTTCTCTTCAATTGCTCACTAGAGAGTTTGAGCCATGAAAAATCCAGGGGGGACACCAAATGAAACGTGGCCTTTTCCAGCATCTTTATTCCTCTCTACTTCAGGCACTAAAAGGAGGCTCATCTTTCTCACTGCATTCCTTGCCCCACTTGAACAGAACCTTCTTCATTCCAAACCCCCCTTGGGAGTCAGTCAATCCTCTGCCATTGGACTTTGGGCAAAGGAAGAGACACCTGGGATGCTGGAGCCCAGGAAAGGAGGGAGAGGAAGCTGACAGGGAGAGGATTCAAGGCACTCCAGAACTCAGAAATGTGTTCATGCCCTGCCAGCCCACCCCAATTCTCTGCCACCCACCTGAGCTGGGCAGGTGAGGCCAAGGCTCCCCTTCCTGCTGCCAATCACTGTCCCAGCACACGGATCCCCGGGCTGGGCAGCACTTGGGAAAACCTGGGAAAGGCAAAAGGAAAATGGCACTGCCTGTCAGAAAACAAGTGTCCGTGAACAAACCTTCTGGACAAATGTAATCCCATCCCTCTGCCCCAATAAACCCAGGGCAGGCAGGTCTCTCCAGCCCAGGGAGAACAGGAAGGAGAACTGCAGGAACACAGGCAGGCACAGGCAGCTCTTGGCACTGATTCCCTGCAGACCTCTCTGCACTTGGGGCTCTTGGCACTTCATTTATAAAGAATGGGGGGGCAGCAGCCCAGGAATGCCCCTCAAAACCAGGGGCCTGGGCAGCTGGAGATTAGAGGAGGGGAGTTGTGAGGGGAGACACGGAGAGAGAACAGGAACAGGGGTTGTTTGGGAACAGGCTGTGTGTCCAGCACAGATGGGAACTGGAAACACGGGAGGCTGGAGGAATGCAGGGGGGGAGCACGGGCCTGCCTTGGATGGATCCTTTTTCCCTTGGCTCAGGGGCCTCAACTCCACCCTCTCTGAGAGCAGCAGGGAACTGCTGCAGGGGAAGAGTTCATTTAGGCACAAGGCAGTGATGCAGCCACTGGGGCAGGGGAAGAGGGGAGAGGAACTGACACAAAAAGGACACAATCACCACTGAAAGGGACTTTATTGAGCTGCAACACAAACACATTCACAGCAGGCCAGGGCAAGAGGTGCCCACAGGACCACCAACACAGCAGCTGGGCTGGCAGGAACACCATCTTAACAAGTTATGGAGCCAGGGGCTCACAGTTGGGATCCATCCCAAAGATGCACTCAGGCATCAGGGCCAAGTCCTGCCCAGTCACTGCAGACAGTTCAGCCCCAGCAGCAGTGGCATTTTCTGCCTCTCCCTCCAATATTATTTGGGACCCAACAGCTCAAGGCTGTGGAATTTTACCTCCAAGGGTGGAGGGCACGGAACAGCTGCACACACCTTGGCTGCCTTGGCCCAGCACACACTCACAGCACCTGCAGCCTTCAGCCAGGGCCCCTGAGCACACACAGCCCTTACCCTGCTCCTCAGGGGCAGCAGCCCCGGGGCTCAGTTCTCAGGGAACTTCTCATCTTTCCTTTGGTCCTTTGATCCCTGGGCAGGGCAGAGACACGTGAGAAACAACTTCTTGTAATTGATCCCAGAGACAACAACTCCATATTGTTCATAAAATCAGTATAATTACAGTGATTAGTGGATGGATTAAAGTGTTCAAAAACTTTGTAGCAGATGGTGAGAATCTTGTAAATATGTCCCACCAGTGGGGAGCAGTGACTTGTTCTACCTGACGCCCAAAGGTCACTAATTGACCCCCTATATTTACTGTTTGCATTTGGTGATCAAGTCAAGTCTTATTTCAGATTTGTAGGGCAATAATTTGCACTTACATACAAAAATCCCTGGTTTACTTACATTGCAGTGTGTTATTTTTCCAGCACGATATCAGTTGGTGCACTGCAGCAATTCAGGAGACAAAATCCAGTTAATTTTTGCAATCCAGGATGGGAATACAGCCCTCCAGATCAGTTCATTGGTACCCATTAAGTCCTTCTGTGCCTCATTTCTTTGTATTACAATATACACACCATGGCATGTGCACTCAGCCCAGTTCATAAGTTACTGGTGTTCCCCTGTGCACAACAATTACATCTTGGGGAACCATCAGAGAGCTGCCCAAACTCCCCATCACATTCTGGAGTGAAGGGTGGGGGGTAAATACAGTGGGCATCCCTTGTGCTCCTAAATTCAGCACTCGGGATACACCTGGCCCAGCTCTTTGCCATTGGTTACCAAACAATTCCATGTCTCCACCGTCTACAAATCCAATACCAGCTCCCGTTCCTCCCCGTCCCGTGTCCCCCCAGCCTTGCTGCCTGGGCCAAGATGGGAGCACTGGAAGCAGAGTGGGGAAAGGAATTCTATTATCCTGATGATGTTGGGCTGCAGGACACAGGCAGCAGGTACCCAACAGTTGGACCAATATTTGCCTCGGGAGGATGATGCCCAACTGTGCCACCCCCTGCCCCAGCTGATCCCTTTGCTCTTTTGGCAGCACTTCCCCAGAACAGCCCCGCAGGCAGAGCCCAGGGGACGGCCCTGCTGCTGTGACACTGGGGCTGGGACTGGCACCGCTCACACAGGGGGACAAGGATGCCAGGGAGACCCCCCGGACCCAGCACCGTAAGGGAAACTACAGCACTGCATGGCAACAGTGCTCCCAGCCCCTGGAATCACATCCATCCCATCCCACTGAGGGCACCAACAGCCGCCCGCACAATGAGCCCGACAGACCCCGGCCCTGCCAGAGAGTCCCCCCGGGCACAAAGGGAGACTGACCCCTGGCCAAGGGCCATTTGCTGCCCGGGGCACCTTGTCCTGGGGGCCTGGTTTGGAGCTGCTTTTCCACCCCCATCCAAATCAAACCAAGGCACCCGACCCAGGCACCTTTTCCAGGCAACTGCCCGGGCCAACAGCATCGCCCAGAGGGACCACAAGGGCTCTGAGGATGGCCAGGATCCACAGTTTCTCTAAGATATCAAGCTACAACATGGCAATGTTATTCCCTCCACTAACATTTATTCACAGTTATTCACAGAACATATTCCCATTTTCCTTGTCTGCATTTAATCACTAATTCTGTGATGGTGTCAGCTGGGAGCCAAGTAGCCAAACCACTGCCAACTGACCCCAAATCCCTACAAACCTGACACTGCCCTAGTTCTTCCTGTTTCATTCCCACAGGTACAGTGTCTCACTCAGCTCATGGACTACTTTTGCCTCCCCCCTTTGTGACTTCAAACTCCCTCTGGCACGGGTTATAAGCTCCTGCTTTCCAAAAGTGCTTCCCACTGGCAGATTTGGCTGACCCAGCAGTGAGCCAGGCATGCTCCCTCTCTGCTCCCAGCACTTGCTCTGGGGCTTTTCCCCATTTCCCAGTGATTTGTGCTCACTGTCCAGGGGATCTACACTTGTTGCTTCAACCACAGGGCCGGTGGCAACTCCCTCCCGAGGCCTCGCTCCTGCCCCGCCCCCTGCTCTGGCTCTGGCTTGGATACACCATCTCCATTCCATGGTGCTGCCTTCCTGAGCAGGGCCTGGCCTGGGCACCCTGGAGGAGCTTTGTACCCAAGGCCTTAGGGGGATTTCAGGCCCTCTTATCATTTGTTGTTCCCACTAAAGCCCAAGAACATACTCAGAGCTGCTTCTCCAACAGGGTCCATCTTGGGCTGGCTTCCAGTAACTTCCTATTCCCAAATCCTAAGGGCACTTCCTTCCTACCTGGAACAGTTCATTAGGATACATGCCAACAAGAAAGACAAGTGCCACAAGCATTCAAACACACAAAATATCTTTATTGCAGTGAGAATAATAATAATAATAATAATAATAATAAACTTGGCAAAGAGAATCAAAAGTTAAAAAGGATAGAATCATAGAATCATAGAATCGATTGGGTTGGAAAAGACCTCCGAGATCATCGAGTCCAACCCTTGGTCCAAATCCAGTCCATTTACTAGATCATGGCACTCAGTGCCACGTCCAATCTGCGTTTAAAAATCTCCAGGGATGGTGAATCCACCACCTCTCTGGGCAGCCCATTCCAATGCCTGATTACTCTCTCTGTAAAGAATTTTCTCCTGATATCCAACTTAAATTTCCCCTGGCGGAGCATAACCCGTGCCCCCTTGTCCTGTTGCTGAGTGCCCCTGAAGAAGAAGACCAACCACCAACGGCGAAACTTCCCTTCAGGTAAGTTTATAGAACGGTGATGAGGTCACATCTGAGCCGCCTCTTACTCCAGGCTTAAACACCCCAGCTCCCTCAGCCTCTCCCATAGGACTTGTGCTCCAGTCCCTTCACCCAGCCTTGTTGCTCTTCTCTGGACCCGCTCCAGCACATCAATATCCTTCCTGAACTGAGGGGCCCAGAACTGAACACAATACTCAAGGTGTGGCCTCACCAACGCAGAGTACAGGGGAAGGATCACTTCCCTGCTCCTGCTGGCCACGCTATTTTTGATACAGGACAAGATCCATACAAATGAACTACCTTATCACGTGGCATTAAAACAAATAGTGAGAACAGCATTCAGTACAGTATAATATTAACTAGTGAAAAGGGAGTTAAAGGGATACCAAAAAGCATCTTAACACAATATTATGGATAACTATTAACATGATATCTGGTTAGTAAAAGGGGAAATTAAAGGGAAAATATTATGAATACTAAATAAAGGGTATTAAAGGAACACTAAAGGATATTTAAAGTCTTCTTTCTCTGTTGCCTCCCATCACTACACTGTGCCCACCCCCCCAGCCAGGCAGGGCTGTCAGGATCTGCAGCAGCTGGTCGGTGCCCATCCCTTAGCGGGCGTCCCCGCGGAGCAACACAGGCTCGGTGGCAGGATGAGGATCGCTCAGCTCAGCAGTCCTGACAGCCCATTTTATCAGCTCCACATTACACCACGTAGGGCCAGGACGCAGTGTAAGGGGAGGCCTGAATGGCAGCCAAACACCGCCCGATCATGCCCTGATGGCAACAGTCTGGGCCTGCCCTACTTGTAGGGCAAGGGGCCAGCCACCCCTGCCCACATCATCTTCCTCTCACCAGCATCTTTCTCACCCCGAGGTTTGACCTCTCCCATTGTGTTTCAAGGGTAGATGTACCTACCTTGCAATATGTAGCAGAACCAAGGAAGAACTCAGCTCTGATCACAGGGGATGTCAGGCTGACTTGCTGAAAAGCACAATGGACCTTACAATTAGCTTGTGCCATCAAGTTACATTGTACCAGACTCCAGCTGGTTTCACATCCTAATAGGATTTCTTTCTCACGCCTCTATGCTCCATTGATCATCTAATTCAAAAGTACCCCCCTTACATGACCCTACTTCTGCCAGAGGCTCCAATTGGCATCATTATCACTGGCAGGAACCTTCAGTTCCCCCTCTCTGGCTCGTATTGGCCACAGGTCTGGAGCCTGTTGAATTGCTCCCTGAGCTGTTTCCAACCCTCCCTGCTGCTCATTTCCCAATCAAACTCACACTTCTGCCCTGGGACTTTATGGCCCAGGCCAAGGATTGGTCCCAAAGGAGGACCTGGTTGTCACCAAAAGCCAAACCAACCAATAAACTGCTGGGCTTCCACCTTGCTCTGGGGGTGACCAAGCCTGAAGTCTCCTGCCTAGTCCTGGGCAATACTTCCTGGGGACCACAATACCTCTGAGTTCCTAAAAATATCACAGGTTGGGCAGGTGCTTGAATTTTGTCTGGATTAACTCCCCCCCTTCCTTTCCATGTGCTGCACTACTCACTCTAATGGTGCTTGTACTCCCTGAACCATTCCCTCACCCATCCAACCATCCCTTGTCCCCTCTCTGACAAGGACAGGGGGTCCAGGTGTTCTGCCACGCTCCCAGGGCACAGGGGGGGACGGTGGAGCCACCCTCGAGGGGGGAAACGTGCCCTGCCTGCCCTGCCCAGGGAAAGGGAACTGCCCCCAGTGTTCCCCAGCACAAGGCACCCTTGGAAATATCCACTGCAATGGGACACTCAGGGACAGCAACAAGCACTGCACGAGGCTGCTCTGGCACAGGACCAATTTTAAGCTCAGCTTTTCTCTGGACCACTTCATTTGGTTTCCCACCTCATCCTGCAGTCAGAACTTGCTCTTCTTGCAACTTTTTAGGGTGACCACAAATTAAAGAGGCCTCTGCTCCAGCACCCACGAGGGCCTGAACCATCTGACAGGATCCATTTTTCCAGGGAATTCAAAGCTCCACCTGAGGAACAGGGCATCCTGAACAAACCCATCCCAACTCCACAGGACAAACTGCTCCCTCTCTGCCCAGTCCAGTCTAATCCCAGAGGCTCCCAGATCGTGCAGAACAACAACCCAGGAGATCAGAGACTCCAGTCCATCTCTTCCTAGCACAGGTTTGGGTGAGTTTGGCAAATAGAGAGACTCAGGAATTACCCAATGTTTTCCCAGTTTAACCCCTGTCACACCAATCACCTGAACACTGCCAGTCCTTAATTCTCCCTCTCTTGGGTTAAGGACTGAGGAAGTTGGACCTGTGTCTGACCAGGACAGGTGCAAACCAAATGCTGGGGACTGGAACACACACCTGGCACTCCTGCAGCTCTCACAGTCACATTCCAGAGAAAACAGCCAATTGGACCCTCACCGCTCATTTCTTAATCCCAATCCCACACTTCTTTGGCACTTGGAGCACCACTTTTATCACCCAATTCCAGCCCATTAGAGAGCTCCATGTCTAGCAGGGACAGGGACCCCTGGGATACTCTCAGCAATGCCTGAATCCATGGCAGGGACCTTGCTTTGAGCTCCCCAGGGCCGGGCACCCCGAGGATCTCCCCGAATAATCCTTTCGGTGCGCGCTGGAGTCCTCGGGGTGCCCCAACCCGGGGGGCACCAACAGCACTGTCCCTCCAGGGGGCCCAGTTTGGTCCCAAGGCTTCAATGGACAGCCCAAAAGGCATTTCAAGAGCCCTTCTTTGGAACCCACCAACGGGTACGGGGAGGAAGCCACAAGAAGGCCTCATTTCTAAAGGCAGGGGGATCTTGCCTGTGTCCCAGACCGGTCCGGGGATCTGAGGCCCTTCCCGAGAAAATCTCGGTGCCGGCGTGAAGGCCCAGAGATCCCTTGGAGTCACGGGAGAGCAGGCACAGAGTCCCTCCTGGGGGCCAATTCTGCTGCCTGAAATCAGCTCTTCAAAGAAGCCTCTGAGACTCAGCTGGTGAATTTTCCAAGCCAGGCATTCCTTGCTTACAACACCCTGCCATGATCCCAGCCCCACGGGGGTCCTGGCAATCCGCTCCCAAAGGGCACACGGAGGGGTCTCCACTGCAGCTGATGGGAGGGGTCACCATTACAGCAGGGTTCATTTTCCTTCCCTGCATTCCTGTTCCACATTCAGGACAATCCCAACACTTATCACCATACACACCTACCCTTAGAAGGTTTCCAAGGAGCTTCACCGAGGGCCTTCCCAGGTCTTCTCTGTCTGGAGCCCTCCAAGTCCTCAGTGCCTGCCTGAGGAACCTCAACACAACTCACCTGCTTACACAGGAACTTGGTGCTGCTTGGCTGCTGCCTCACTTCCCTTCTTCCTTCTTTCTTCACCTCCCTTGGTTAGTACCTTTAAATCCCTGGGCTCAGCTCTGTGCAGTTTCCAGGCTCCATCCCACTGCAAAAAGGATTAGCTCTTGTTACATCGCAACACTCATTCCCCCTTTTTTCTTGACACTGGGTCATCAGGCCAGTGTCTCATTATTTAAAGCACAGTTTGACTCCTCAGTGACAACAACAGCTACAGCCCTGAATCCTAACACAGGCTGAGACACAAACACGGATGGGAACTCTGAAGGATCCACTTTGTCCTGCTCACCAATCAAAAGGAGCTTTCTGAACTCAAGAATAATAGACCCCAGGTCCTTTTTCTGCAACTTCAGCTGCTATAGATGTGACCCACAAGACCTGCAAAGGCCCTTCCCACTTCACCTGCAGGGCTGGCAGTGCCACCACTGGACACGGACCCAGGGGCTGGGCAGGAACGGAGGGGCTGGGGCGTCCAATCCATCGGCCCAGGTGGCACCAGGAGTTCCTGGAGTTCCTGAGGGGAGAGCCTCAAGACAACAAAGGATTAGGAAGACCATTTTAAACTTCAATATGTATATCCCTGCAATATGGGGACTTTGACAAGGCCTACTGGTGCAACAAGGACACACTCAAGGCTATCTATTCAAAGGATCTACCAGCACTCAAAAGCTGTCACTGTCCTTCTTACAGGGGGAACTCAGGAAACTCTGTTTGCCAAGAGCCTCCAGGAGGATTTCCAGCTTTTGGGGCTCCCTTTTAACTATTTTTCCCCATCCCTGTAGCTGGGACTATCACCTGCCCTGCAGGGGGAACAGCCCACAAAGTTCACTTGCAGGGATGCCATTAACTCAAAGTCCCTTCTCAGGGGGGTCACTGCACACCTTGGCCTTTGTTTGCCCTCCCCACCAAAGATGATTCCAACAGTTCTGAGAGATCTGGCAGACCCAGAGCTCTCCTCAGGGAATGCTTCAGCTGCTTAAAGACTGCCCTTGCACCATCTAGACAAGGCAGCAAATGCTTACAGGCTGTTCTGTAAAGTTGGCATAACAGTCTTACTGCACATCCAGAGGGAGCAATCCAGAGTCCACCCCGTCCTACCATTCCCAGCAAGGCAGTTCGTGGGCT